CCCCCCCCACCCCGCCGAAGTCCACTGCTTTACTTATTTGAAAGATCACACCTTGTGCCATTTACACCTTTCATTATTCAACCAGTGGACATTTGTTGATGTTGGCCGATGTTTATATTGTCTTAGAATAATAACGGGAAAGCATATGGGAAGTGTGAAATGTTACACTGGTTTGGGGATTTCCACTGGGAACTCCAGCTTCCTCACACCTTTCAGCGTAATGCAGTTAGATGTCGGGTCTCGGAATTTCCCATATCACATATATGCAAGTTCAACCATCATAAAGTGAGGAGCATTTGTATACCTTGTACTCTTCTGCATAGTTCCGTTTCCTATAAAAATTCCTGTGTTTTGCCTATAATTGCAGCAGTGGCCTCACTTTATGCTGTAGTGATAGTGACTGGCCACCAGGTGGCACATTATGGGCATATGTGTGAGTGTGTGCCCTGTGGAAAAACTGGCATCCCATTCATGGCGTACCCCAGACTTGTGCCCTGTATTGGCGGTCCTGGGTGAACTGCTGGAAGATGGACTGATGCGGGCCACCTGACGGTGGGCCAATCGCAAGTGCTGGTTTCAGATCTCAGCCCCAGGGCATAGGATAAGAACACATGGGAAGAAGCCATTTTATTCGCCAGATCTACTGTTGTGGTGCGTCAGTGTGCTGTAGCAGTAACGATAACGATTTCTTCCCCTCTCACCCCAGCCTGTGTGAGGCTGTGTTTTTATCTGGGAGCTTTTGGGATTTGACGGTGTGTTACCCCTTGTGACCACCAGGGCGGAGTTCTACAAGCACATCGTGCTGTCGGGCGGCTCCACCATGTACCCAGGGCTGCCGTCGCGGCTGGAGCGCGAGCTGAAGCAGCTGTACCTGGAGCGCGTGCTCAAGGGCGACGTGGACAAACTCTCGGTGAGTGCCGACCCGCCGCGTCGATCCGCCCCCCGACACCGGCAGCACGGGCAAACCTCAGTTTTAACTCGGGTTTTAACGAAGATTAAGGTTGTGCAGATGCTCCTCGATGCATGATGGGCCTATCGGAACCCATCGTAAGTGGAGATTGTTGAATATGATAAGAAAATAATGACTCTACATAATTACTGTAACTGAAATACCAGTAAATTAATTGGTCCAAGTTGATCTGATCAAACACAGAAAAAAACACGGTATGGTATATTGTTAAACACTGTAGGAGATGTTTACGCTCACCATTGCTACAGAGACTACTGCAGTCTCAAGGCATCAGTACAAAGTATCGTCCGGCATATCGCCAGTGGCTGTAATTTATGCTGGTGTGACACTGACTGGCCACCAGGTGGCACATTGCGAGCATATTTTGGCAGCGTCGTTACATTGAAACTGCATGGCGAATCCTCTGACTTCTCCTAATGCAGTCAAGACAGGGTTGGCCAATCGCACGGTGTTTCACATCTTGATCCCTGGGCATTATTTACGATCTGTCGCTGGGACTCCGCTGAAGTCTGCCTTTCATGGCTGCGTATTTAAACATCAGTCAGTTCCACATGAAACAGACACTGTTTGGGCTGTAGGCATCTAACTAGCTTCCTGTCTAGAAGAATGGACACTTTCAATAATTGGCCAGCTTGAAGCACTCTGAGCCACTCAGCCTTTTCAAATGTGTGATTTAGATTATTATTTTTTTTTAATTAGGCTACAAATTGTAATTAAATTTTTCCTTGAGTTTCCTTGTTCGGTATGCATTGAAACAATTAGATGTGTAGGACCGGAATCCTGCTAATTACACCCAAATGCTTTAATCTTGATGATCCCCGGTGTGTATGTGCACGTTCTGGTTTGATAAACTCTTACTGACCATTTGTGTGGATGGATAGGATTCCATAAAACAAACTAACATGCACATAAACCTTTTACTACATTTCGCCCTCTTTGCCCGCCCCTCCCCTCCCCGCCCCACCACCATTCCCTTCATAGAAATTTAAGATCCGGATTGAGGACCCCCCTCGACGCAAGCACATGGTGTTCTTGGGCGGGGCCGTGCTGGCTGACATCATGAAGGACAAGGATAACTTCTGGCTGACGCGGGAGGAGTACCAGGAGAAGGGCGTGCGGGTGCTGGAGAAGCTGGGGGTGACCGTCAGATAAAGCAGCGTCCCCCCACTGCACCCATGATATATATATATATTCATATATCTCTCTTCCACCAC